GGCTATCTTGTCCACCCCTTCCCTCCCATACACACACGCACACACACACGCGCGCGCGCGCACACACACAAACACACGTCCATGGTATTTCGGCGTGCACATCAGACCAGTAAATTGTGCCCGATAATTGTTCACACTCTGACGCCGCTATTCTGCATAGGCGAAGACTAGAATACCAACATATCAGGAGCATAATTATCACGCGCAGTTTATTGCTCTAGATCGCACGCGCGCGCGGGTCCAGCGACGGGTACTCTGTGCGTGTAATAACTAGACAGAGGGCACTCACGGAGAGTGCATACCTCCGCGACCATGTAACATGTATGTGCTCGCTGGTGGCGGCTGCTGACTGACTCGCCTGCTACTGACTCGCCGCTCACTGGTGGCTGCTGCTGACTCGCCACTCGCTGACTCGACGCGCTATCGATCGCGCCGCCCGCTGCTGCTGCATCGCCGCTCACTGGTGGCTGCTGCTGACTCGCCACTCGCTGACTCGACGCGTTATCGATCGCGCCGCCCGCTCGCTGACTCGACGCGCTATCGATCGCGCCGCCCGCTGCTGCTGCATCGCCGCTCACTGGTGGCTGCTGCTGACTCGCCACTCGCTGAATCGACGCGTTAGCGATCGCGCCGCCCGCTCGCTGACTCGACGCGCTACCGATCGCGCGGTGGCCACACACACACACACACACACACACACACACACACACACACACACACACACACACACACACACACACACACACACACACACACACACACACAATAGTAATTCGCATAAAGCTCGATAACGGCTCGACTCAAACAAAGTTTTCTAGTTCTCATTTCATTGTCCGTAGATAGCAATGCATAACCTTCCGCGTTTTAAGCATGATTCTTAAGCAAGATCAAACACGAATCATCGGTCCTGAACCGCGAGGGCATTTCCTGGTAAATTAAAGCCATAATCGAAGCGATTTAGTCCACACCATTATATTTCTCTGCTCCCAGCATCTGGGCCACCGTGTGTCTCTTCGACTTCCTAGTTCCTCCGAAAAGTGCTCGGCGCAGCACAACGCAGCGCCCATCGGCTCTCTCTCTCTCTCTCTCTCTCTCTCTCTCGCTCTGTCTGTCTCTCTCTCTTTCGCTCTTTCTATCTCTTTCTCTCTGTCTGTCTTTCTCTGTGTCTGTCTCTCTGTGTGTCTCTCTCTCTCTCTCGCGCGCGCGCTCTCTCTCCCCCCCTCTCTCTCTCTCTCTCTCTTCTCCCTCTCTCTCTCTCTCTCTCTCTCTCTCTGTGGAAGCGGCCAGCTGTCGGACAAACACTTACTGTCGTCGACACCACGCGACGTCAGTGCTACGTTAGTTTCGGTCGACGTCGTTGAGGTCTCGATGCTGCTCGGTATTTGATCTGTCGACTAGCTAACTAGCTGTGGGGGTGGAGAAACTTAGTTGAGGATTCACCCGCTTAGTACTTTCATGCGTCGAAGAGACTCAATGGATACTACGAGACTAGTATCATGGCCCGGCCATAAAGAGTGAACTTAATCTAGGGACACACAAGCATACCCACGCACTCACGCGCACACGCATGCACGCACCCACGAACGCGCACACATACACACACCTGTAGCTATGGATATCCGTTACCGTACGCGCGCACACACAGGTGATAGGCCTAATGTCTAGAGTTGTAACACAGGCACATTTCTACACGATATAGATATAGCTGTGCTGTCACTGCATTGGTTCACGTTATTCACATAAGCATTCCGTGCCCCGCGGAGTAATTATTCATTTTGTTTTCAATGCCCGATCAGGAAATCATTCTATTCCGATATGAATACGAACTTCCTGCTTTGTGAAAGAATGGCTCGCTTCGAATGACAAGAGAGCATTTGCCTGCTCGACTGGTTTTTATGGCGGTTTACACAGCGCACCCTAAGCGTGTAATTATTACACACGCGTAACAACGCAAAGAGTGTAGATCGGCGCAATTACGAGTATATATATATACATATACGTGTATTATTAGCTATATATATGTATATGTGTGTGTGCGCGTGCGTAGGCCTACGTGCGTGAGTGTGTGCGTGCATGTATGTTTGTGCGTGCGTGCGTGCGTGCGTGCGTGTGTGTGTGTCGCAGAATCTACCGCGTTAAACTTGGTCGCCGTTACTTACTACTCTCATTTTACTTTATACCTGCAAGCTAAAAGTTTACATAGTATTTTGCACGATAACAAACTCGCATCTCATCAGGAGTTAATGAAGACAAACATTTGTCTTCATTAACTCCTGATCTCATGTATAGCGTATACTGGGTATGTGCGCGTATGACCACCTACGCATATGATTAGCAGAAATCATGTACCCTATATATATTTATTTTCTATTTACATGTAAACAAATTAATAGCTGATAATACATAATAACAGGAGTGAATAATAATAGATTATTATTATAGATTATAACTCCTGATAATAATAATGGATTATTAGCTCTTGATGTAAACAGTATTGTTGTTCCGTGATGTTATCCATCGGCGTTCTATTCGTAATGTGCGCCAAGAGAGTCATGTACATACATATTTGCTTTGCGGGCGCATCTGCTACTCCTCCCGCATACAACACAATCAGGAGTGTATCAATATGATGATCACTCCTGACACAATGCATGCGCGAATGCCCGCACGTAATGTGAAGTTAGCTGAGCTTAGAGATTAGCTCGGATTAGCTGTTTGTACTGCTATGTATGCCATGTTCGCAGCCAGTGTTAATTACGTATAATAGCCGGTCGCTCACAGCGTGGTCATCGTCGTGGCTAATGCGGCACGCCCTCGCGCGCGGGTTGGGATCAGCTAGAGATGGAGAGATTGTCAGACGATTTCTTCTTGGGTGCGATCGAGTTCGCGCATCGGTCGCTGTTCCACCCAGTCACGTTTCCAGTTGTGTGCCAGCGCGCAGCCGCGTGTTTTACCCAGTTACCCTGACCCACACTTTACGTGTGCGATGGAATAATTGGAAGCCGGAATTGAACTCAGCCCTTTCTGAAGAATTTTTTATTCATTTCGAGTATAGGGGTAACGTTGGTAAATAGTTGCCGTGCTGTAGGCATTGATCTTGAGTGTGTAGGCCAACGCGGGTTTTGTGCTGCGAACAGAGAACCTTTGCTGCCGTGTTGACGTACACACTGGTTATCGCTTCTGTTGACGTTTGGAATTCTGTAACTTAATGAGCCCTCCGATGGTCATTGTGGCGCCGCCCATTACTGACCGGATGTGGCTAATTTCCGTGTCGTCGTGAGGGCAGGTTGTGTTCATTTTATTTTATTCTATATGACCGTGTTTGACATAAACTGACATAGACTTGTCCCGAGTTAAATACTCGCGACATTTCAGACCTGCTTTCGATGCTTGATGTCTAGATATATTATTAAGTACAAGCTATGAAATCGGTGGCGAACTATCACTGTATATAATACATACGTATAGAAACGCAGGTGATAATAAAATGGTAATTTTTGTACTTTTTTGCGTATTGACTATTGATTATTCATCTATCGTATTTCCCAATTATCATTGCATATATTCGCATAGCTCGTACGGCGATCAACAAGTTTTCTAGTTCTCATTTCATTGTCCGTAGAAAAGCATGCACTAACCTTCCGCGTTTGTAGCATATTCTTAAGCAAGATCAACACGAATCATCGTCACGCGAGGCATTTTCCGGTAAATTACGCATAATCGCGCGTTTAGTCCACAATAATATCTTGCTCCCAATCTGTGCCACCGTGTTCTCTTCGCGTTCTAGTTCCCCGAAAAAGTGCGCGCACACACACGCACGCACGCACGCACACACACACACACACACACACACACACACACATACACACACGCAGACATGCACACGCACAACGCACGGACGCACGCACGGACGGACGCACGACGCTCATGCGATTCTACAAGCTGCATCTGACTATGTCAGATGAGCTAAAAATCCTCGAAAAACATGTGTTAGATATGTGCCAGATAGGGCCAAATCTACTTTTGTTCAGTGTTATCTGAAACATTTTCGACTCTGTAGTACAAACGCAATTGACTCCCGTTACCCTGCTTCAAAGGCCAAACGTAATGGAAATGTAACTAATTAGACTTAGCCGAGTTTCAAATTACACATGTAATGTCAAAACAAACGAATTTTCTATTCTATTACTCTATAATGTAAATATGTTGCATACACAACTAATCTAAATTATATAATACTAAATTGTGCATACACCAACATAATTGAGTAATCTGCTTTATTGAGACGATTTACTGGCTACGAGCTTATGCTGAACAGCACGTATAATCTGGCATTAGTATTATTCTGTGCTCATGTACAGAGGCTAGCGACCTGGCTATCGGTTTTCGCTGTCAGTGATTGCAGTAGGCATAATATGCTCATGGTTCTTAATTAAGACCCTAAGATATGTGTTGTACGTAGGTGTTTGGTTTCACTCTATGGTCGCCTTATGGTGTTTTGCTATATGTTTAAACGAGTAATAATGAGTATATAACCATGCTGGATTTTTTAGTTTCGTATCAGAAATGTTTTGAACGCCACATTAAAATTTGTTGATAAATGCTTCATGTATCATTTCTTTGTCAACTAATAACTATATGTTTAATTCGTAGCTCACGCACAGGATGTAACAACTTAGATAGTCAAATGTTATCATTGAAATTTAATGTAAAAGAGTTGTGGTGTAAATGATCTAATGTTGCGATAACTTAGCATATATGAATGTAGTGATTATAATTCACAAGGATTTTAATTGGTCAGTTATCACAGGTACGGTAAAACGTTTCAAAATTAATATATACTGACAGTGTCTATGGCAGTTTGCAGGTCTCGCGACCAACCGTTGTTTATTTCCTTACTCTTGGCTTTATGTGCTACCGTATCGCTTTTTAGCTAACATAAACAGGAACAGCTGTTAAACAGTTCATACACGTGCGGTTGTCAGTTGCGTTTAATTTACCTGCAAAGAATGGTGCACCGCGTGCTCTTTCATTGCCAACCTGTTCTTTCCCATAAACAAACAACCCAAATGCAACTAGCTTCTTCCAATCGTTTGTTCCTCTCGCCTGTTGCATCATGGTAGTCACAGCACGCAGCAATACGTTGATTGTATCAGTGTAGAAATTCACCTCGTCGAAAGCCGAAGCAAGCTAAAGAAATAACTGAGTTATTATGTGAAAAGATGAACCTAAGATCAAAAGCAGATTTAGAACTTTGATAACTATTCATTACGTGTGTAAATGAGTATCACAATGACGCATTAATAACAGAATTCTTTGCCTTCGAGGCCTTGGACGGAAGACGGCATGGAACTTCGATCCTGCTTAGATCATTGAATGCATCAGTTTGATAAATCAAACAACTTGTTGCTACGAAACTGACACACTCACTGTCATTTACTAAAATAAATGTGAGTATACAAGTATTTAGTTTGACTGGCCATCACGCAAGTTCATAACTCAGGGGTTTATTCAATATCACTGAACGCGACAGACTCGGTGAAAGTGGATTTGGAGAATGTCTGTCATACGGGTGCGATAAACATTTTCACCTCCGCCCCCCTTATGTCCCGCACCATGCAGTCTATCGTATAATTTTAAACAGGGACTACCTCTAGGATAAATTGGATACAGATTAGCTATCTGCTTTAACAGAGTAAACAACGCGTATTAAACATATCAGAGCTCGTACCAAAATTTGCAAAACCTTTTTCTAAATATAACATTACGACTAGAGGTATTGAACACGATTACATATAATTGATACACAGAGTGTGTGTGCGAGAGCAAGAAAGAGATAGAGATGGGTGTGCGTGCGTGTGTGCCTTGCTGCCGTCCGTAAGAGCGAGTTACGCCAGAAGCGTGAGAATTTTGATGCTTATGCTTCGTTCGTTGGACACTGCAATCGCCGCACTACTACCACCTGTATGTTTCTATATTAATCTGAATGAATCTGTTATCTGTACTTAGCAAAGTTTAAATTAAATACGAAATCACGCACGACTCTTGGAAGCTTTTATTGTTTCTCAGCTGAAAGTGAAAGTATAGCACCGCTGCTATCGCTGCCATAGATTTGCTATAATTTCCACCATCTATGTATAAGAAATATCTGTAGTCGCTGGTGCCTGGCTGTTGCTTCTCTGTCAGAAGCTGGTAGAAGAAGTGAGCATGGGGTCCGTTGTCAGAAACGAAATTATTCTTAACATTAGTCTTAACTTTACGGTGTTTCTGACACCGGCCCCCTTTATTATAATTGCAGAAACAAAAATCACACATTATTTACTCACAGAACTCTTGCGTGCATTGTAGCCAATAACGTAAGATAATAAGGAAGCCCAGCTTTAAGCAAATATTCTGAACACGTATATAAAAAAGATGTAACAAAACCTACCTAACCTACCTTTTCGGACGGGTACCCCGATATCATTTTTTAAACCTTACATTAGTTTCCTATGTTAGGTTCCCGTTCACGCATTAATTGAAAATACAGATAGCGATAAGGCTAGGGTAGCCAGCGAGAGACATTTGAGAATGGCGATGCATTCTTTCAAGAGCTAATAATACCTTATATTTTATAGGTATTATACAGGTATATATAGGTATTATTAGCTTTCGATTATTTTAATAGCACGTATCATCGCATAGGTGCTTACAATTCGCATAATGGCACTAATAAGCGTCGGTAGCAATCACTCGATCTTTGAACGACAATGATGTTATCTCTCTCGGTCTGCCCGTATAATCATCACACGCGATACGACAGCTGCTGCTCCGGAGGTCTGTGTACTAAGCACCGCATCATTGTGTAATTCGTCTCGAACCAGCACACCAATTAAGTGACAATGCTATCGTGCTATTATCGTACTATCGCTATGTAATAGGTTCAGCACTCCGTGATGTGGCTGCGCTATGCGGTGGGGCGGGCAATGTATAATCGGTCAGAAATTATATGATTGATTCAGCACGTGGCCTCCTGTCAAAATTCGTTATACGATTATGGAAAGCCATCCCCTTCAAAAATAATTTACAAACATTTCAAATACACAATTTTAAATCAATTTAGAACATTTCAAATTAATTAATAAAAATACAAATTACGTTATATTGTTCGATAAATTTAAATTCAAAATTTAAAATCAATTCAGAGAATAACAAATCCATTTATTAACTTGCAAATTAATTCACAACTTTCCAAAATAATTGTCTGATATACAAATTCCTTCACATCATTGTAAAAATTGATTTTCTAAACGTACAATTTATTTTCAAAACAACAAACCAATTTACTAACTTGCAATTTAATTGAGAACATGTTACATAAACTCACAAATGTTCAAATCTTGCTTCATCATCCTAACAATTAAAATTATAAGTTTTTAATTAATTTACAGAATAACGAATCAGTTCACTAAGTTTGAAATTAATTTATTACTTTTAACATTAATCACCAGAAATGCGAATTTAACTGTTGGTTTCAGAATTATTAGGTAACAAACGATGTATAGCTTAGATTACAAATTAATCATACAGCTTTCAAAACATATATAAATGTTTACAATCAAAGAGCTCATTTAACAATCAATTTATGCAACTTCCAATCTATTCAAGACCTCTGAAATCACTTACGAACGTTTACAATTTGCCACCCACTCTCTTGTTTCCGGTTCGTGTGCAAAACTATTCAGGAAACTTCTAATCAATTCACAGGACTTGCAATCTATTGACTACACTTTCCGAACCAGCCAACTACCAAATGAAAATGTGTTTTGAAGGGGATGGCTTTCCATATACGGTCGTGAGTGACATGCAGTTAACGAACACATTTTTGACAGCCTAAGCACGTAATCTATGAAAAATGCGCGCATGATACCAAGGATTCAATCGCATGTGTATTGTGCACTAACGCTTATTATATCTCGCAATTGAGTTTATTTCTCTTGCAACGTGAAAGAACACACTACAATGAGTGCAAATCTGCTGTTGTAGGCCCTACACGTGAAATAAACCGCTATGCGGTGGGGCGGGCAATGTATAATCGGTCAGAAATTAAATAATAAGCCCAGAATTATATGATTGATTCAGCACGCGGCCTCTTGTCAAAATTCGTTATACTGTCGTGAGTGACAGTTGACGAACACATTTTTGACAGCATAAGCGCGTAATCTATGAAAGATGCGCGCATGATACCAAGGATTCAATCGCATGTGTATATAGGGAAGTCTATTGCTACCCGTGATCGTATGAGTGGTTACGCGTGAGTGTGTGTAGTACACCCTTCCTAGCGTCTATGTGAATGCAGATAATAAAAGAACATAACGATTTATATGAACGTATTCAGTTATCTCTTTAATTGTCATGCAGCCTTAACTATGCATCCGCCCATAACGGGGCGAATGCGTACAGTCGAGGTACACGAGCAACATCACCTAACTTACGAGGTTAAGGATGTGTGGTAGCTGGCTCGAACCAATATCGTCTAGTCTGATAAGTGTGTCGACATATCGCTCTGTGTCTTATTTCTCTGGTCGAACACGCGGTTATATAGTCACATAGGTAGACACGCCTACCCATTGTTTATGGTCAGTCCGTACTACATTACTGTCTATTCTACCCTGTCTATTCCCGCGTTACAACTTTACACAGCTGGCCATATATGCCAACCCAGAACAATAGGTTATTCTGATATATTTATCTATTATCTATATATCTGTCTTTCGACGGTATTACATGTATTGTGCACTGACGCGTATTATATCTCGCAATTGAGTTTATTTCTCTTGCAAAGTGAAAGAACACACTACAATGAGTGCAAATCTGTTGTTGTACACGTGAAATAAACCGTTAATATATATATATATGTTAATTAACAAACTTGTTTTTATTTACACCTGGCGATGTGCGTTTTTAAAATTTATTTTAAAAATGAAATCTCTTGCTATTGATAATTTAAGACATCTTTAAGCAGGCTCACTGTCTTCTCAAACGCGTTCTTATGCATCTAGGAATAGGTAGGATTTACCGTCAACAAGTAGAGTTTACCTCACTTTGCCTCGCTTGCAGGCTTGCCCCGTAATTAATTCGTACTCGGCATTATAATCACTGGTATCGCGGCCAGAATTTTAATAGCATACATAGACAGAATGCCTCTATGTCATTACTTTCTTGATCTTTGTGTATGCATTAGGTTATGAACACTGCTGAGTTCTGAATGTTCTGCCGACGTATTGTTGGTCGAAGTTACTAATCAACTCCCGTCGTGAACAATCTCTCCATTTTTCCCAGCGCCAGTTTCATAATCAATACAATTACGTACAATAATGTTCAATAAATGGTCTTACTGCCGATAATCGCCGAATCTACCACCAAAGTAGGGGCCGACTGGCAAAACCAACTGAATTTAGCCTTGGTGACATAACACGACTATATATATACGTACTGCGACATCATCGCAAGTACACCGCGCATGCAAAATACTATATGAAAATTTATTTATTCATCTATTTATTTATCTATCTATGTATCTATTTATTTATCTATCTGTCTTTTAATCTATATATTTATTTATGTATTTATTTATTTATTTATTTATTTATTTATATTATTATTATTATATATTACATTGTCCCTGCTGCCTCATTTCTTCCTTGGTTTTCTACGCGAGGCACAAGCTAGTTCTAACCCCAAGCAATATTAACTTGGCTTAAACTTAGATCTTTATCAGTTATAATCAGGAGTAGATAATAGAAGCTTCTATTAATCTACTCCTACGGTATAATCAATGCGGATCTCGCCAGTGTTATGTACGCGCATTCGTAGCAATGAAAACGGTACGGTGTCCAACATACATTTCTCGTTATTCCGAGAGAAAATCAGGATGTCGTACGAACAGAGGAACTAGCGCTTTAGCATATTCAGCACTGCTGCCTAATGTATGCTAAAAGAAAACACGGTCGTCTGCCACGGACACGCAGCGCGGGGGATGGCGCGGATTATCACACCCTATGCTTGTTCACGTGAGGTGCGTAATGGTTCGCGCTGCAGTGAATGGAAAATCGGTTCTCAGTGATATCTGATAAGGAAGCAATAAGGGCACGCCTAGCTTCACAACTGTTAAATATTTCTACGCAATGGTCTCGCGTGTCGTTGTGTTG